TTTCTTTCTTTCTTTCTTTCTTTCTTTCTTTCTTTCTTTCTTTCTTTTCTTTTCTTTTCTTTTCTTTTCTTTTCTTTTCTTTTCTTTTCTTTTTCTTTCTTTCCTTTTTTTTCTTTTTCCCTCCCTCTTTTTGTCTTCTTTTTTTTTCTTCATGCAACCTCGGAAACGCCGGCTATTACTGTTTTTCGCACAATCGGCACTCCCGCTTACTCCGACCTGCCCGCGCAGCACCACGCTCCTCCCTTCCAGATGGCGCTACAGCCTCGCCGCAGATCCACATCTTCCTGGAGTCAGTCTGGAGACCGCTCTAGGGAGTATAGCTCTATGGCTTTAACTTTTGTGCTTCGTCCTGGCAATCCAGTTCTCAAGAATGAAATTGCCTCGTTACAGAATAACAGAGTTGGACGGGCCCTTGTAGGTCATCTAGTCCAACCCCCTACCCAAGGCGAAGACCCGACACCATTTCTGACAGATGGCAGTCCAATCTCTTCTTGAAAGCTTCCAGTGATGAAGTTCCTACAACTTCTGAAGGGAAAGCTGTTCTATTGGTTGATTGTTCTGTCAGAAAATTTCTTCTTATTTCCAGGTTGAATCTCTCCTTGTTCAGTTTCCATCGATTGTTCCCTGTCTGGCCTTCAGGTGCCTTGGAAAATAGCTTGTCCCCTTCCTCTCTGTGGCAGCCCCTCAAATATTGGAAGACTGCTATCTTGTCTCCCCTGATCCTTCTTTTCATTAGACTAGCCAGGCTAGTCTAATGAAATAATCTTTCCTCATATGTTTTCTTCTCGTCCCCTAATCATCCTGGTTGCTCTTCTCTGCATTCTTTTTCTAGAGTCTCAAGCTTCTTTTTTATGGCATGGTGACCAAAACTGGATGCAGTACTCTAGGTGTGGTCTTACGAAGGCTTTATAGCTTGGTATTAGTATCTCATGTAATCTTGAGTCAATCCTTCCGTAATGCAATTTAGGATTGCATTGGCTTTTTTGGCTCCTGCCCCACATTGCTGTATGTGGCAGCAGCCAAAACCTTAAGTTCAGGAGTTTTGTAATAGTGGGTTGTGAGAAATCTACAGTCCTCCCTTATTATTGCCCACTACTAGCCAACATTCAGAGATTCCCAGCTGTTGAAGGCTCAGAACTTGTCAAATGTATTTTTGATTCTTCACTGCAAAGTTAAGTCCACCTTGTCTCAAAAGTGCTTTCTCAAAAGGAACCTGGACTTTCTTTGTTTTTCCTTGAAGATGTTTTGCTTCTTATCCAAGAAGCTTGTTCAGTTCAGTTCTTCAGAACCGAAGCTTTTAGATGAGAAAAGAAACATCTTCAAAGAAAAACAAAGTCCAATTGCCTCTTGAAAAAGCACCTTTGGGACAACCATGACCTGGATGACTGAGAATCTCCATAGACCAGGGGTCTCCAACCTTGGCAACTCTAAGACTTGTGGACTTCAACTCCCAGAGTTCCTCAGCCAGCTCTGGGAGTTGAAGTCCACAAGTCTTAAAAGTTGCCAAGGTTGGAGATCCCTGCCATAGACAGTAAGTCCACCTTGTTTTCTTGGCAATAAAAATGGAAGAGAAGCTGCGCTGAGCAATGGTGGCGCAGTGGTTAGAATGCGGTACTGCAGGCTACTTCTGCCAGCTGCCAGTAGTTTGGCAGGTTCAAGTCTCACCAGCTTACCGTTGACTCAGCCTTCCATCCTTCTGGTCAGTAAAATGAGGATCCAGACTGTTGGGGGCAATTTGCTTACTCTATAAACTGCTTAGAGGGGGCTACAAAGCGCTGTGCAGTGTTATATAAGTCTAAGTTCTATTGCTGTTGCTATTGCTATCCATAATGCCTCTTCTAAAAGGTTTCTTGGTGGTCTCCCATCCCAGTACTAAGCGATATCACTATGGTTAGCTTCCTAACCCAGCCAAAATCAGCCTGAGCTTTCCTCTGTGGAGAATTTGCAAATTGAGGGATTCAGAGGAGACCTGGAGGGTTGTGCAAGGAAGAAAACGAATGCAACTGAAGAGGAAGAGAACAAAAGTGTGCATTTCACAATCAGCAGTGACAATTTTATTTCTATACATTCTTTTTTTTCCTGCAAATAAGTGCAAAAATATTTTCCCAGCACTACATCATGGTTCTGGGTCAGTGTCCAACATTTCTAGACATTTAGCAAGTTTTGCTCTTAAAACAAGCCCTTAAGTTTCATTTTAGAAACTTTTCAGTTTATTAGAATTTTTTTTCCCCATGGAAAACAAGGCTGTCCATAAATAGCAAAAAAAAAGACACCAAGATGGCAGGCACAACAGTGCAGTCCATGTCCTGCCTGGTTTGTAGGTGCATCTCCTATTTGTTAAGACCAGTCCTGATCACAGCAAGGATCTTGTGGGGGAAGGAATCGTGTTTTTAAAAAGTCTAATCAGGAAGAATCGAAGTCTGACAAAAGTCCGGTCTCAGGTCACCTCTCATTTTACCTCCAAAGCAAGGCTGTCTGGGGAATTCTGGGAATTGAAGTCCACACATCTTCAACTTGCCAAGGTTGAGAACCACTGAAACTAGTTTATTGATTTAAATTGTTTTCATTTTAATTCTTTTCTTGTCGACCAGTTATTGTTTTTTTTAGAAGAGTAGCCATACAAATTGTGTAAACATAAAAACATCACCAAAGAAAATTACATTTGTGTGTTGTTTGTATGCCACTTGACTCTGAGTGGCTCTGGAGGGTATTTTAACCACAGGATTAATTTACAATCACAGGAGCGAAAATCAAGCAGGTCTCAATAAAACTGTGAGGGTGAGGAACGAGTGTGGGCCTATGAGGACAGTTCTAGAAGAAGAAAAAACCCCCCTTTGGCCTTCCAAATATTTCCTACTGAATAGATTTTGCTGTGTTAAGATTGCAGCTCCTCTCTCAATATTGCAGCTCCTATATATGTACCCAAATATATTCACAAGGCATTCCACTGCACAGACCAACATCCTTTATGGAGATCAACCAACCTCCGATCTATTTTATTTATTCATTGATTGGTATCCCATCTTTCCTATGTTTACAAATAATTCATGGTGGCAAATATATCCAATATCCCTTCCTCCTCCTATTTTCCCCACAATAACAACCCTGTGAGGTGAATTATACTGAGAGAGAGTGAGTAACTAGTCCAAGGTGATCCAGCCGGCTAAGATGGCACTAGAATTCACAATCTCCTGTACCAAGATTTGTGAGAAGGGTCATTTTTAACCTGCCTGTTATGCTAGAGGTTGAACAAAGTACTTCCGTGTGAAACAAGCGCTTCTTTACAACACTTTAATGTGTCAATATTTTTAAAAGCCATCAATCCTTGTTCCTTGGGCTTCCTCCCCATTGTCTGATGTTTCACTCCAATGCTAGTATCGTTTTCAGTATCTCTGAGACTGCATGGTGGACCTGAATACCAATCCTGTCCTCCAGGACGTCCCTGTTGAGTGGATTTTCCTATGTTTTATGAAGCATGAAAGAATTACAGAATCTTTTCTCTCACACAGAGCATCTTTATGATTTCTCTCAGGGGGATGAATCTGCTGGCGGGCCGCCATTTTCTAATGGATGTTTTCCCACCATGGAAGAACTTTATGGGACTTATTGAGCGTATGCGTGCACTACAATATGCTCCCTGAGATGCGAACTAGAAAGAAAGTTTTTTTTCAGGTTGAGGACACCCCTGTGGTCTCTCCTGGCTGGGCTCTTGTGTAGATCACGAGCTGTGACTGAAGATTTGCATTCTGTCTAAGCACTGATACGATGTCTATACACATCATATTTCACCAACCATCCTCTCTCGTTGAAGCTTTTGCCAAGGTCTAAATACTTGAGTCTCTTGCCCTTTTGTGTGTTTAAAAGATGGCCGCTGATTTGGAAACTTGGGAGCATTCATACGGCTTCTCTCCTTCGCTCGTGTTTGATGAGGGCCTCACACCCAACTTTTGGCTGAAGTTGAGAGCATTTATGTGGCTTTTTTCCCCCTCCTCAGGGACTTGACCAGAACGCCATTTTCCCCCAAAACGTTTTCCCATGTTCAGTGCATCTGTACAGCTTCTCTCACGTGCGGAACTTCTCATGTTTAATCAGAGTTGATTTTGTGTTGAACCTTTCCCTGCAGTTTGAAGGTTTATGCGGCTTTCTTCCGGTTTGAATGGTCTTCAGGAGGTTTGCTTTCAAACCAAAACATTTTTCGAGCTCTGAGCAAACATGATTTTTTTCTTCTTCTTGTTGAGGGTTTTCCTGTGGAATAAATGGGGTTTGCTGTTAATGTTCTGAAAGAGTATATATTTACGCAGTTATCCTTTACTTGCACGTTTGAACAGTGATGGTTGCACACCATCCCTGGTGCCTCTTAATTCCAGACTTTGTGCCCCGCTGAAAATTGGCTTCATTTAAACTTTGATCGGCATCTTCAGGCAGGAACGTTTCACTGGCTTTCTTGGCTTATGTGCCTTTGTGCTCCTGGTGGATCTATTGGCTTTCCTTAATCCTGGAACCCCAGAGAAATGATCGTTTGACTCCTTTGAACGGAATCTTCCAAAATCTATTTCTTCAGATCTTCCCACCTGGAAGATCTTCTTCTTATGAGTTGTCCCATATCCATCACATTCTGAGAGAAACAGAAAAGTATTTATGTCACATTGTCCCCCAAACAATGAATTTCATTTCAAAAAGTGTCTGGTATAAATTCCAGTGTTGATAGGTCTCCTTAAGCACCTACGGTGCCCTCTTCCAATTGACCTTGTCTCTAAAAGACCAGCTGGTCTTCTCCCTCCTCTTTGACTTAGGGAATCCCTATTTCAAACAGAATAAAAGAGTTGGGACCTTGGAGGTCTTCTAGTCCAGGGGTCGCCAACCTTTTGAACCTCAGGGACCACCAAACTCATAATTTTAAATCCCGCGGACCAGAGACCCTGGGAAAATCCGAAAAAAATTCTGCAGGAAAATTCCCCACCCCATTTTCCTACCAATCGATCATTCTTTATTTGGGATCGCAGGATACTGTCTCCAGCTCCATTCTCGGGGGAGGGGGGGGAGAGAAAGAGAGACTTTTGGCTTCATGCAAGGAAAGCAGTAGAAGCAGCAGAAGTCTTTCTTTCTCTCCCCCAAACTCCGCCAGAAATGAGTCTTTGCCGGCGCAGCCTCTTGGAGCAGGATGGAGGAGTTTGGGGGAGAGAAAGAAAGACTTCTGCTGTTTTCCTTGCATGCAACCAAAAGCAGAAGAAAGAAGTGGAAAGAAGCAGCCCGGTGGGCAGGCCAGGCGAGTGGGACAAGTTTCCCCCCTCTGCCCTTTCCCCCTCTACTCACTACCTCGTGTTGTTCGCAATGCAAGTGACGCAAGCCTTGTGTTCCCATGGGCAGCGCAGCTTTGTGTTCCCGCGCAGCCTGGATTAATTGCTTTGGGGGGGTGACATTTCTCTGCGGACCACCAAAATTTTCTCGCAGACCACCAGCGGTCCCAGGCCCACTGGTTGGCGACCGTTGTTCTAGTCCAACCCTCTGCTCAGGCCCTACAATCATTTCAGACAAGTGGCTGTCCATTCTCTCAAGCATCCTCGTTTGATGGTTTTCCAGCATCTATCTCAAGACCTCAGCTTGGGAGACCTCCTCATCAATAAGATTCTTTTTGAAGGTAACAGTGTTCATATATCACCAAGCAGCCACTGATTTATTTAAAAAACAATATTTTAATGAAACACATCTAATGGGCTCATTTACCAACATTTTAAATACTGCTGGTCACCGGTGTTAGGAATATAAGTCACCTAACAGGTATTTGGGTTAGAAATATATGAACCAGGAAAAAACATTTTAGTACTATATCTTTAAGGGAATGCAAGAGCATGCAATTGGGTGTGGTTTCTCAAACAGCCATAAGATGGAGCCAGAAACCTGGGTTGTTTAGTCTTAGTCTCAAAAGAGAGTGTGTCTGAGTGAATATCTCTGTTTCCTTCTGTTGGAAAGTATTGCCGTTGCTCCATTTCTTCTAATTGACTGATATTACTGGATTTAATGTAAGTCTGATACTGAACTGTTTTTGACACTGGAATTTGTTACTGAATTATCCCTGGATTGAAAACTGACTGATTTAACTTGTGAATGACTTTGGATTGCTTGTTTGGACTTTGCTTAACGTTTCTGGAAGTAAAAACCTACATTTACTGTACAGTGTATCTGTGTGCTTTGTGTGCATTATTCCAACACTACTCTCAAATACGTCTCCCTGTATGCGCTCATTCTCCTAACGGGGAATTGCCTCAACAACCGGGCCCACGCAATAATCTAAGCCAGTGGTTCTCAACCTTTTCTTCACCACGTCTTCCCCCCTCTTTAAATGTCTTTTACAGCCACGGACTATGGGGCACGGTGAAGAAATGGTTGAGAACCACTGACTTAGAATATTGTATGGACCAGGTGACCAATGGTACTTAGAATGTTTAACGTAACGTTTATTTCTGCCTTTGCAGACCCCCTGTGATGACCACAGTTTGGAAATGCACTGTTCTAAGCCAATCAAACCACCTTACAACAATGTTCAGCTTTTTTAGATGGCCACACTTCAGCTCCCAGAATCCTTCATTCTTGATCTGTGAAATATGATAGCAATGGGCCAGAAAGGGGGACGGCTCCCCTTTCTTATGCCCAGGCAGAAACTAGATAGGTGTGGTGGCAATGGCTGAACGTGGATTCCCACCCAGAGCCAGGATTTGGTGGGCCATAAGATCAGTGGTGGGATTCATTTTTATTTTTTTTACTACCGGTTCTATGGGCATGGCTTGGTGGGCGTGACAGGGGAAGGATACTGTAAAATCTTCATTCCCTCCCCACTCCTGGAGGAAGGTTACTGCAAAATCCCCATTCCCTCCACACCCCACTAACCTGCTTTCCAGCTCTGTTCTCCTGCGCAGGGCAACAAAAGAAGACCCAGCCAATCAGCTGGGACTCAATGGGAGGCAGAGAATAGATGGGGGCAGGGCCAGTCAGAGGTGGGATTTGCTGGTTCTCCGAACTACTCAAAATTTCCACTACCAGTTCTCCAGAACTGGTCAGAACCTGCTGAATACTACCTCTGCCTAAGAGGAGAAGTATTGCATAACCAAGTTGTTCTACAAGATGTTGGCGCTTCCCAGGGTTTTCAGAAACAGAGCGGAAAACCAGCTTGGGTCAAAGCACTCCATATTTGCAATGACTGACAGTCTACCTCAGGGGTGTCAAACTTGTGGCCACGCCCACCCACCCACCCCCGTTTAGTGAAGGGGGAAAAAAAGTTGCGAAACATCACAGGATGACGTGATGGCGCATGTTTGATACTCCTGGTCTACATCCTTACCTAGTGAGTTGGCCTCCTCTTCATTCTCTTGCTTTATCTCCAGGGAATGCTTCACCTTCACAATCTCCAAGGCCTCTTCCTCCAATTTGGGAGATATTAGTATCGTATAACGCTGGGATTGGGATGCCTGAAAATAAAAGAAGGGAAAGTTGACTCAATTCAAAGGAGTCCTGCACCGGGCTTCCTCTCCAGTCCCTCCAAGATGAGTAAGATTCAAGCCCTACTGGAAGAGATGGGATCCAACTTTGAGATCAACCAACCAACCAACCAACCAATCAGAATAGAGCTGGAAGGTCTTCCAGTCCAACCCCTGTACCATTCCAGACAAGTGGCTGTCTAGTCTCTTCTTACTGCACAAAATTCCTTTTCGAGACCATTTCTGAAGTTTGAATCCCCAAATCAAATCACGTGCTCAGAATCGGAGCAGGTGCAACTTGCATGCCCTTAATGAAGATCTTTCTTTTTCCTCCACACCTAATGCTTTGAAGGAACGGAAACAGCGTCTGGGAGCTCTGTCCAGATGTTTGGCAGCTCCAGATTCTTTGGGGCCACAATTTTTGAAATGAGAGGAGGATGAACTGGGCCCACCCAAAAATTGGCTTGCAACTCTGAAGCACAGCAACCAAAAGACTCTTCCCTACTTTTTCAGAAATGTTGGTTAGGAAATCAGACTGGGTGCATTTTCAACCAGGATAAAAACATCAAAACTGAAACTTTTCCTCGCTCTAAGAGTCCCAAGGAGCAATTCCTTTTCTGGTTTGCTGATTACACCCCCACTCTTCCTTTTGTTCCAAGATCAGGCCTTTTGAAATGGCCGCTGGATGAAAATCTCAGTAGTCTAGGTCTGATTGCGATTGCCCTGACGACTTGACTTCAGCCTTCCATAACTCAATTTCTGTTCTCCTTTCTTGAGTTGACGCTGTTAAACAATATTAAAAAGCTCTTTAATTCTAACCTATTTTTGTCATTAAAACGCTGTAATAACGTTTAACTCTGGTTCACGGTCAAAACTGTTTGAACGTCCATTTTAAAACTTTGGAACATTTTTTTTTAAAGCTTTTGTTTAAGACTTTAGGCAGGCTTGTTTTTAAGAAGTAGCCTAAATTGGAAACCACAAAATGAAATGCCAAGCACTGTGAGGAAAATCAGATTGACAGGTTTGTCTTTGGATTTCAAAAACTCGTTCGGCAATCGTTCCATGAAACGATGGCACTGAATGAGGAGGACTTTATGTCCTTAGTCTGAAATCCCCATGGTAATTTGATCAGAATCCCGATTCTCAGCTCCTGATTATGACATCACAGTTGAGCCACGTCACATGACCACCTTTGCCTACCTTCCCTGCAGGCTTCCCCAAAGCAAAGTCAATGGGGAAGCCGGTAGGAAAGTTCACTAAATTGCTCCTGCCAGTTACGGTCTCAAGGAGCCATACTACCACATACAAGATCATAGGATGTTGTAGTCCAACTGGTCCCCTTTCCACCTTGGCAGCGCGAGGGGGGGGAGGGGATGTGAGTGGCAGGCGCACGTGTGTGAGCAAAGCTCCATGGGTACGAACGGTGGGCACTTGCATTCATGTGGGAAGCTCCATTTGCGCAAGTGGAGGGCACCTGTGTTCACACGTGCGCAGCTCCATTAGCACAAATAGAGCTTCATGCATGAACACAAGCTCCTTCCACTCCCATGCCCTCCAACTTGTACGAGTAGTGCTTCGTGCACAAGCACAAGGGCCCACCACTTGTGAGTGACAGCTTCGCGCATGCTTTCCCGTCACTCATGTGGCCCAGTTTCAAGCAGACCGTGGCCCGGTAGTGAGCCGTGTCCCAGAGGCTGGGGACCCCTATTGTAGCCTGGTCATGTGACGTGGCTCACTGTGATGTCATAAGTACAGTTTGCAAAGGCACAGGCTTGCAGCTCTGACAATCTATCCCATGAGGTCTGCTATCACACGAGTTACTCTCTTAAAGTCCAGTGTGACCTCCCAGTTACAACGGCAAGGAAGTCTGTTGGGACGGCAGTCGCTAAGACACGCAGGTATGACACATCGTAGTTCACAGCCATGTCATTTGACAGTGGAAACTCCCGCCTCACTTGTGTTCTATTTTGAGGATTCCTTGTATTCTATAAGTTCCAAAATTAGGGAATGATTATCTTGCATTGCCAACATTTAAAAAAAACAAAAACAGGCACTCCTCATTTAGAAACTGCAAACAGGGCTACAAACTCAGTCATTAATATAAGCAGACGTTAATTGAAACCCACAATTGGGACTATGATCTAATGCAGGGGTGGGCAAACTACGGCCCGCGGGCCACATCCGGACCGTTGGTCTTTTTAATCTGGCCCGCCGAAGATTAGTACAGAATTAAGGTTTGATGTGAATGATTGAATGATTGCATTCATTTGATTTTGACTTGTAAGGACAGGCATTTCGACACCAGGTGGCGCATTAGGCGCAGTGACTTGATTTTGCGGAGATTTTGCAGTTTTTTATATGTATCGTATCTTGTGCTGACCCGGCCCGTCTGTCAAATTTTAAAAGTCAATGAGGTCCCCGAGCCAAAAAGTTTGCCCACCCCTGATCTAATGGGTAGTTCTCCTTTAGTGACTACCTTGTTTAGTAGCCATTTGCAGTTACTGCAGTGAAGAAAAAGTAATTTTACAATTAATCCTTGCATCTACAATCTTCACAGATCTGTAAAGGAAAGCTAAAGTAGGATCAAATGCACAGGACCTATACTTCATATTTTCTTTATAAAAATCTGACGGTTGTAAATGGGAGGATTGTTTACTAATGCTGTTTACTAATGTTGTTTACTAACTCGGGTTACTAAAAAAAAATAAAGCAATCACTAAACGAAAGCTACCTGTTCCAAAATAGATTTTGAAATGACAGTACCTGTAAGCATCAAATTGGATATAAATCCTTGAAAATATTCATAGTTGTCTGTGTTTTCAGGAACATCGGATCCACTGGCGTAGCTGGTTGACGGCTGAGGATCTTCCGGGTTTTGTGTTCCTGTAGATGGGAAGGGTAAAAGGAAGGGAAGTGGAGCCGGGGGAGGAGTAACTTTCTTCAGCAACCCGCTCTGTTTGTTTTCTTTATCATTCTTTTCTTTCTTTTTTCCTTCATAGATTTCACGGTAACATTTTAAGATTTCACACATTTCCCAGTGTACCCTTCTAAAACGTTCCACATCCGGATCCATGCTCTCCAATTCGGATAAAATTTTGTTCACGCTCGAGAAGACGCTGGCCAGTCTTCTCAGGCTGAACGTTTTGGGCCGCACCTCTACCACTTTCTTTTCTTCTTCTTTCCTCTCTTCTTTCCTTTCTTCTTTCTCCACCTCTTCTTCCACAATCTTCTGGGCTTCCAGTTCTTCCTTCAGTTCAATTAGATCTTCGTTGGAAAGCTCCCCTTCCGTATACGCCACCAAGTTTCTCACATCTTCGGCGTCGACCTCCAAATCAAGGAATCGCGTGAGCGTCAAGATTTTCCGATTGATCTCGTCCAGATTTGGGATTCGGTGAAATAGCTCGAAGTTGCCGGCGAGAGCAACAAAACGCTTCAGACACTTTCTCCAAAACTCTTGCATGCTTTTCCCACTCACATCCTGCCAGGCGATGGCGATGTTTTCGATACAGTGCAGGATATTGTAGTTTTTCCAAAACTCACGTACTGTTACTCTATCGTATTCCATGGCGGCTAAGGCTTTAGCAAACACCGCGTGCAAATAGTACATCTTGAATGCTGAGATCATCCCCATTCCCACAGGCTGTAGGAGAGCGGAGGGGTTTTGGGGCAGGTAAACGACCTTTACATCGGGGTGGAGATTCTCAGGATGTGGGGGATGTCCAGGGGCTTTGTCTAGGAGGAGGAGAATTTTAAAAGGAACCCCCTTTTGTTCACAATATTCCTTTACTTGGGGTATGAAACAATTCGTAAACCAATCCTCAAAAAGGACGGGTGTCATCCAGGCCTTCCAGTCAAACCGGTAATAAATGGGCAGCGTGTCATTGCTTATGTTTTCGAACATACAGGCGTGATCGGATTTAAGGATCAGGAACGGCGTCAGCTTGAATCCGGCCACGTTTCCACCTAAGAGTAAAGTTACTCTGTCCTTAAATGCTTTACACCCAGGCATCGCTTGGGCTTCTCTGTGTATGTAGGTCCGCTCCGGCATTCTTTTCCAATACAGTCCCGTTTCGTCCACTCTGAATATCTGTTCGGCAAAATAATTGCCTTCTGCTATGATCCCATCGAGTTCCTGCAGAAAGTGTTTGGCAGCTTCTTCGTCGGCCCTCACGGCGTCCCCTGACGGGTGCGTTTTCTGGTAATGAAACCTTTGCTGGAATCGCATAAACCAGCCATGGCTGGCCGTGAATATTTCGGTGCACTCCTCGCCCGTTTGTTCCTTCAGCATTGAGAAAATGCTGCGCGCCTTATTCTGAATGAGGAGAAGGCTCACCGGCAGCCTCTTCTGTATCCGATCTTCAATCCAGAGGATGAGGAGTTTTTCCATCTCGTGGATGAGGCCTTTTCGCTGCCTTGTGATGCTCGTGTTCATGCCTGCTGCTCCTTTTAGGGCCTCTCTGATCCTCACCTTGTCCTTCAAAATGGTGGAGATGGTAGAATGGGCCAGGCCGACCTCTCGCGCTATTTTAGTCACCTTCTTCCCGGCCTCGTACGCTTTGATGATCTTCATCTTCAAATTGAGATCGATGGCTTTCCTTTGCTTCTTGCTACTCGCTTCGGCTGAACCAGGGTGCTTTCTCTTGGAAGGTATCTTGGCACGGGATATAAACACACATAAAAAAAATAAATAAGTGAAAATAAGAGCAGGATATATATATTGGATACTAACTGTATAGGTAATCATCGGCTTACAACCACAATTGAGCCCAAAATTCCTGTTGCTAAGCGAGACAGTTAAGCAGGTTTTGCCCATTTTACGACCTTTCTTCCACAGCTGTTTAACGAATCACTGCAGTTGTTAAGTAAGGCAGTTGTTAAAGTGATTCTGGCTTCCCCATTGACTCTGCTTCTCGGAAGGTCGCAAAAGGGGATCATATGACCCCGGGACACTGCAAACTGTCATAAATATGAACCAGTTACTAAGCTGGTACAAATTTGGATCACAAGACCATGGTGATTCTGTAAGTTTCAAGCGTGACTTTTTTCAGTGCCGTTGTAACTTCGAGTGGGGACTAAACAAATGGTTGTAAGTTGAGGACCAGCTGTAATAGTGAAGATGTGATTGACAGAGATGCTCTGAAACTCATACATGCACATTTGGATAGAAAATGATTTTTTTAAAAATTAGTGTCGTGTTTGCAGATGGTCGCTAACTGAGGTGATTGATAAATGAGGTGTGGCTGTATCTCATTCTGGGCAATTTGGTTAAACCAGTTTGGTCTAGTGGTCAAAGCACCAGGAAACTACGAGTTCTAGTCCTGCCTTAAACATCAAAAATCGGCCTGGTGACTTTGGGCCAGTTACTCCCTCTCAGCCGAAATCACCTCACAGGGTCGTTGTGGAGAAAATAGGGAGGAAAAAAGGAGTATTAGCTATATTTGCCGCCTTGAGTTGTTTATAAAAATAGAAAAGGTGGGATAAAAATAAATAAAAATGTATTTCATAGGCAATGGATTACTTTCCTGCTTACAAACCTTTGGCTGACTTCTCACAATATTAAATGTTTAACCCCGGTTTCACAAGCCATAATAAAGCCACTTCTCCTTTTGTGGCAAAATCAGTTAATGGCCGTTCTCAAGTATAGTGGTAATAAACAGTGGGGGAAAAATAATGTTATGACCGATGTGCACACTTATGACCAAATTTCTGCAGCTGACAACAGGACGTGCCGGGCGTAAGAGTAACGCTGGCATTTCTGCATGAGGGGATGTTATATGAGGCAGCAGCATAACAATCTTTGTCGTCTCTCTCTCTCTCACTCTCTCTTTCCCCCCCATCTTTCTCTCTCTCTCTCTCTTTCCCCCCCTCTCTTTCTCTCTCTCTCTCTCTCTCTCTCTCTCTTTCTCTCCCTTTCTCTTTCTCTCTCTTTCGAAGAAGCAGTCCCTCAAATAATCCACCCCAAGGCCCTAGAGGGCTTTAAAGGTAAAAAACCAGCACCTTGAATTGGACCCAGGAGCACACTGAAAACCAATGCAGCTTCTGGAGCAGAGGTACAATGTGGCCGATTCGGTACCAACTGAAGCTTCTGGATAGTCTTTCAGGGAAAGCCCCATGTAGATTGCATTGCAGTAGTCCACCTGGGAGGTGACCCAGTGCATGAGTGGCCATGAACAGAACCTCCAGACAAAAATGAGCAAATACAACACAAAAATGAGCAAATACCCTCCTTAAGCCATGATGGCCACCTGCTCTTTGAGAAGCAGTCCATCCCGTCCCCAATCCCAGGTGCCAATCCAGAAGGATACCATGACTGACAGTATCGAAGACACTGAAAAGCAAAGTAAGGATGGATGGACAACCACCATCCTGCTCCTGTCAAGAGAACATTCAAAAGTACAACTTCCACAAGCTGAGGTGTTTTAATCTACTACAGGGGTGGGGGAAACTACGGTATGGGCCTTTTATGACTCGCGGACTTCAACTCCCAGAATTCTTGAGGCAGCCATGCTGGCTCAGGAATTCTGGAAGTTGAAGTCCACGAGTCTTAAACTTGCCACGTTTGAAGACCCTTGCTTTAGCTGAAGCAATGGACCAAGCCACCCTCATTAGGTCAACCAAAACAGCTTTATATTCTTTGTATATAAACAAAGGTCAAGATGGCTTTTATTTTATTTTTCCTGATCATAGAATACTCAACAAAACAGAATATCTGAAAACTCTATGACTCCCACTCTGCCTTTCTATTATATTTTCCCCCCTTTTAAAGACACTAATCCCTTGCATCAGGGTGAAATCAGGGTACTAATGTCTAATGTGGAATTCTTTGTGCCCAGAGAGAAATACCTGCCGCTATAGGTAGTCCTCAACTTACAAACACAACGGAGCCCAAACTTTCTTTTGCTAAGTGAGACAGTTGTTCAGTGAGTTGTGCCTCATTTTACGACTTTTCTTGCCACCATTGTTAAGTGAGTCCCGGCCGTTGTGAAGTTACTAACCATTATTCTTAAGTGAATCTGGCTTCCCTGTTAAATCTGCTTGTCAGAAGGTTTCAAAAGGGCAATCACATGATTGCAGGCACACTGCAACCATGAGAAATATGAGTCAGAGTTGCCAAGTGTCTGAATTTTGACTACGTGACCATGGGGATTTGTGCAACGGTTTCTAAGTGTGAAAAACGCACATAAGTCACTTTTTTTTGTAAGGCCGAATGGACACTAAATGAATTGCTTTCATAAGGACTTAGGATCGAACTCACAGCTTCCTGATCACAAGGCAAGAGCTCCACCTCTGGACCACTATGCCGTTCCTCCTCTGCTTCTCTATAATCCTCTAAATGTTCTCCAGAATTATCTGTTGCAAAACATTTCCCTCTGGGCCTTCTTCCGTCAAACTCAAGGCCTATAGGCCGAATCCAAGCCCATGGGGTGCTTAAATCTGGCTCCCGTGCCCACCCAGGAAATAGCAAAGGACCCACCCGTGGGGCCTTTCGCAGCCAAAACAGGGCATGGCGGGAGAGGGGGGGCCCTGTGGAAGGCCCACCTGTGTCCTGTTTTCGGCCTGGATGGCTTCCTGCAGCACTCTGCTGGCCAAAATGGGACACGGGGGGGGGGGGGGGGGTGAGTTCCCGTACTCCATTTTGGCTGGCAGGGTGCTGCAGGAGGCGTCCCTCCTGTCTCCCCACTTTCCCCCCCACTCCCTGCCAGCCCCTGAAGAACTACAATGCTGACTAGGCCCTCAAAAAAATCCAGTTTGACCCCTCCCCCCGCCATAGAAAATCCCACAGTCTCCCGAGCAGAACCCCAGGGTTTTATGTTGGTGAGGCTGCAGGTAATTTACGCGACTTACAACGGCAATGGGGAGCACAATTTCTGTCGCTAAGCGAGGTGGTCCTTAGGCAAAATCACAGGACCGTATTATTGCTCAGCCACGTCAGTTCCAGTAGACCTAGTTGTGGTCATTAGAAGAGCCGCCGCGGCACAGGAGTGCAGTAATGGCAGGCTCCTTCTGCTGACTACCGGCTGCCTGCCGTTTGGCAGTTCGAATCTCACCAAGGCTCAAGGTTGACTCAGCCTTCCATCCTTCCGAGGTGGGTAAAATGAGGACCCAGATTGTTTGGGGGCAATAAGCCAACTCTTGTCAACCGCTTGGTAAAGCAGTTGTGAAGCGGTATATAAGTCTAAGTGCTATTGCTATTAGACTAGGCCAGTGACATCACTAGGTGAAGACTCATGTTCCTCCTGCTCTCCCGCGCTCACCTGCGACTCCCGCAACCCACCTGTCTCACTCCGTATCTCCCCCTTTTGGTTGTCTTGCACTCCCCTGTCTACCCTTTGCGGCCGCTGACCTTCGCGGTCTCCTCCCTCCTTCTGCTGTTCTGGGATCAAGGTGCTTGGGTGAGGGTGCGGCCCTGAAACGTACATGGCGACAGGACATTGAAGCCTTGCCTGCTGAAGGGAGCTTGCCAGGCCCAGCCAGGGAGGAGGCAGCGGGACCACGAGGCATGTCGCTCTCCGTTATCAGGCGAGGCAGGGGAACAAGATGGAAGCCATGTGGGAAGTATGTTTCAGGTGGCAGCAGAACGGGAGGAAAGTGGCCTTCCTGGAAGCGCAGCATGCATTCAGCACCTGGAAAACAGGCCTGCAGGCTTCAGCAAGGGGTGGAGAGCCCAGAGCCGACAGAGCCTATTTGCGGGCCTTTTTCTTACTCTTGAGCCAGCCTTCCTCCTGCACAGCCTCACAAAGGACCAGCAGCTTCCATGTCCTGAGGCTCATTCTCTCCAGAGGCATTCTGGGTGTGCGGTTAGCACATGTGAGAAGCTGCTGGCTGTTTAAGAGGCTTTGCCAGAGGAAATCTGGGCTGAAAGTGAGAAGACAGCTGGGAAGGAGGTAGGCTTTGCCACACTGGGTTGATCTTCACCTCTCGCAGAAGCCCTTAAGTCAGTTTCCCAGGAGCGCCGGCAACGCAAGCTGCAGAATATATACGATGCAGATATTTGATAAGTCCACATCCCTCCATTTCCTCCTGGCACTTTCGTCCGGGGACCTGCTTGCCAGGGTTTCTGCCTCGCCGTCCTGCTGCCTCTATCCTGCCCTGGCAAGCTCCCTTTTTGCAGATGAGGCTCCGCTGCCCTGCTGTGCTCAACGCAGGCATTCCAGGCCTGCATCCACACCCAGACCCACTGGATCCTGGGTCACTGGCTGGAAGAAAAAAATGGCGAAGATGAGGCTGGGGACAGGGGTGGCAGTGCAGCAACGAAGGTATGTGGCAGTGCGGGATACCCAAAAGGGCAGAGATGTGAGCCAAGATATACGGGTGGAGTTGAAATGCCCACGTGGTTGTAAAACATGGGAAGGCTGCCAAGCCCTGAAATTTGGATCGCGTGATTGCAGGGGGCTTAACTTCATGGACAGTTGTGACTCTTTATTTTTTCAGCACTGTTGCAACTGGATGATGGGTCATTGAATAGCAATTTAGACTTATATACCGCTTCACAATGCTTTACGGCTCTCTCTAAGCGGTTTACAGAGTCGGCATATTGCCCCCAACAATTTGGGTCCTCAATTTTACCCAGCCTCGAAAGGATGGAAGGCTGAGTCAACCCTGAACCTGGTGAGATTTGAACTGCCAAATGGCAGGCAGCCGGCAGTCAGCAGAAGTAGCCTGCAGTACTGCACTCTAACGACTGCACCACCACATACCACCATGCTCAGTCAAGGAATAACTCCACTAGGCTAATCATCATCTTTTCACAGGCAACCAACATTGAAATATAAACAGACATCTGCTACTATAGCTGGCTAGTAACCCATTTTGCAACGTAGCAATTTTCATAGCTTTAAGCAACCTACCCTCCACGTTTGCCCACCCCACTCCTCTCCCTTTTTCGGCCTTTGGGGATTGGATACCTCCTGGTGCTGCTCAGCATCCTGGGGACCGAACTGCCTGAGCTGCAAGGGCCACTGGCTCCCCAGGTCAACTTCCTCCATGGACTCTTCCACCTTCACTTTCATGCAGAAATCCAGCTTCTCCCTGTCCATCCAAGCTTTCCCACTGATGTTCGGATCCCTTTGGAGCACGGATTCTCCTCTGGCTTCCCCAGAACTCTCCTCTGGTGGGTTTTCCTTAATTCTCCCCCAGGGGACTGGGAAACCTCTGGCATCATCGTCCAATGGAGGCAGAGCTGCGGGAAGCGCTGCCACCCTTTTCAAGAATTCCTGCCATTGAAAATCCCAGCGTTGGTGGATTTCCTCCTGTGACTCCATCTTAATGTGGGATGGGCCAGCCCCGGTCAGAGAGTCCCCAATGGTCCTGACTTGGACAATGAATGGATCTCTTCCCCCATTCTCAGTTCTCTCTTCTTCTTTGATGACCACAAGCCTCTGCTCCTCCATTTTCGTTCCTCCCTGCAGTTCCAGGAGAGAAAAGGAAAGAAGGAAAGAAGTCACGAGGGGCCCACACAATGTGTAAGGAACACAAAAGGCATTTTTATCTACACCTGTAATATGCATGACTTCTTTAAAATCGGCAAGATATTCTCCCACCGGAATCAAGATAATTTCCCTGCCTGAATAAACGAATGAATTCGATGCCTGGGCTCAGTTGAAGCCAGGGGTGCTGGTGCTTCAATTTTCCCAGTCTCCTCCAGTTTCTCTCGCCCTTTCCCGCTCCAAGTTTGGGGCCTTTTACTTACAAAATTCTGTGAACCTGGAATGAGCTCTCTTGGTCTCTGGGAGAAACTGGCCTTTCCAAAGGGCTATAAAAACCTCTTTATTTGATTAGCAATTTAGTTTAGGGCCTGCTCATTCCAGCCTACGCTTGTTTAGTTGTGAGCGAACAGCCAAGCTAATTTATTTCCTACAGAGATCGATAGGGATACACAGATAGTCCTCTCTTAGCAACCAGAGTTCAGGCTGGAGACTCAGTTGCTAGGCAGCGTGGTCGCTAAGCAGAAAATCACCACCCGTGAAAAGAGTTTGTGATGTCACTTCCCCTTCAATTGTTAAGCAAAGTGGCATGGTTGCTAAGCAGAAAATCATGTGACTTGCTCCTTCTGATTTTACTGCCAGCTTCTCTATTGACTCTGCGTGTCGCAAGCCAATTGTGAAGGGAAGGAATGACGAACATGTGACTCCAAGCACACTGGAACAGTCATAAATGGGGGAATGGGTCACAAAGCACTTCTTTTTTCATTGCAACAAGCTCAAATGGTTGCGGTAGAAGTCGTTAACCCCACCCCCCACCCCCCCGCCGGCCAGCCCCAGACTTTTGACTGGTCCCCAACCCACTCAGTTGTGCCAGGGGATCTTGACAATAGTGTGGAGTTCTTACCGGGCTGTATTGAGATGCTCCAGTGTGAATTCTGCTGCTGGCTGGCTGCGATTTTGTGTTGTTAAATTCATTTACGGGCAAGTCCTCAACTTACGACCAGTCTCTTTGTGCCCTTACAATGGACCTTTACGACCTGCATTCAAAGCTCCACATCCGCTGCCTCCCCATGGTCACATGAACAGCCCACCATTGACAGCATCCCGCAGTCACATGATTGTGATTTATGCTTTTTTTTGCCAGAAACCTCGGCATTTACTTCTGGTTTCCAGCAAAAAAAAACCACCACTATTACAGACAATAGATTCCCTTAACAAGAGTTGTTGCAAAATCAGATTGTAAAATTGGGTGCAGTCATGCGGTGACCCACTTAACAACCAGCATGACGTATGACCATAATTCAGGGGTCAATTGCAGTCATAAAGCGAGCGCTACCTCTATGGATAGTTTTGACAAATTTGCATATTGTTTATTTTTAATTCATTATTATTGAACATTTAGGCCACCCATGTTGCCGAGGCGGCTCTAGGTTTATAACCTTTTATTTTTAATTATTAGTTTTACTTTTTGAGAGCCACCAGAGTTGATTAGATGAGATCAGGGCCTCTACAAATCAAATAATTCATAATCACATCATTATCAGAAAAGCGATCACGAGAGAGTCGCCACACAGGTCGCAAAAGATGATTAAAGATCTTTTTTTTTTTCAAAATGGTCGCTGCACAAATCGGTTGGTAAACGAGATATAGACAGATTAGAGAAATAGACAGACAGAAAAATAGACAGAAAGACAGAAAGATAGAGATAGATAGATAGACGGAGACAGACAGAAAGAGAAAGAAGATAGATAGATAGATGATAGATAGATAGATAGATAGATAGATAGATAGATAGATAGATAGATAGATAGATAGATAGATAGAAGACAGACAGGTTATCTTAGATAGCAGGTAGGTAGGTAGGGTGGGTGGCGGAGAGAGAGAAGACACAGAGATAGATAGATAGATAGATAGATAGATAGATAGATAGATAGATAGA